GATATTTACCTTCAAATCCATAAAAGCAATAAATAAAAAAGTATTAAGGTCAAAATTATTATCCCCTTTAAGCTATATATATTTTTTTTCGATAGTTTACAGAACAAACTATCATTATACAATAGATTGCCGAATTACACTAACCTGCCTAGTTCACCTAATTAGTCTAGTTAAGCATTTAAATGTTACTATAAGCTGTATAGAAGTGTTTTTAAAAATATCTAGTCAAATATTGTTTACTGTCATTATGGCAAAGATAAAATAAATCCGTTATTAGAAAGGAGTTATTAAAACTACTATGTTTAGAAATGAGCTGAAAAATCTTCTCTCTGTTAAACAGAAATCGGGGAAAAAAATAAACAGGGGGCTAATAATTTTGATTTCAACTTTATGTATGTATGTATGTATGTATGTATGTATGTATGTATGTATGTATGTATGTATGTATGTATGTATGTATAGTGGGGTAAATAAGTATTGAACATCTCATCATTTTTTTTTTTCAGAAAACACTTTTCTAAGGGTGCTGCTGACTTGACAATTTCACCAGATGTTGGTAACAACCAAATATAGTAACAACAATATATAATATTCAGCCCTTCGTCATTGTAAATTAATGTTAGCTGCTTCAGTCCAATATCTAAATTAGCAGGATGATGCAGATGAACCAAGAGGGAACATTTCAGCAAGACAATGATCCAAAACACAGCCAAGTATACTCTCAAATAGTTTTAGAAAAAGAAGATCAAGCTGTAGAATGGCCCACCTTTTTTCACATTTTGTTTTGTTTTGTTTTAGTTTTATGTTTGTATTCTTAGTTTGTTTTAGTTTTTTTCTAACAAAATCTGGTGCAATTCTATGTGTCAACAGCTCCTTTAGAATATTTTTCCCAGAAAAAAAAAAAAAAAAAGATTACTTTTCCCCCCAACTGTATGTACAATTCCCAGAGATGGGTTGATGCTGGAAGAGCATCCGCTGCGTTAAACATGTGCTGGATAAGTTGGAGGTTTATTCTGCTGTTGCAACCCCAGATTAATTAAGGGACTGAGCCGAAAAGTAAATGAATGAATAAATTAATGAATAAATGTATGTGTTTACACTCACTCAAAAAAATAAATAAATAAATAAATAAAAAATAGTAATAACAATTAAAATAAAAAAGACTTTTGCTGTTTGTTCGAATTACATATTTAAAATGAGCTCAAACAACAAAATGAAAAAGTTTTTTGGGGGACAGCTTGATTTTTTTATATTTAATCTACTTAAATATGTAAAAACAAAACTTAATCAGTTTGTGTTGTTACAACATATAGGAACTATGTGAAACTGCATTTTTACAGTGTGTATAAATGTATGTATATATATATATATATATATATATATATATATATATATATATATATATATATATATATATATATATATATATATATATTTGTATTATTATTATTATTATTATTATTAAATATTATTATTATTATTGGACAAGAGCATTAAGGTTAAAATTCAGGGTTAGCACAACAATTTGCCTGTAAACATGAAGATGATCTTAAGCAACAATCTTAATAATACTCTACTCTAATGACTGCTGGTTGACAGTTCAGTTGAAAAGTAGTTTAGTCAGAACAATTTTGTAATAATAGAACCAGCAAAATACTCAAATTCAAAATAACCTATATCATTTACCATATGTAAATCTATTTTAATACTTGTTTCCTTTCATTTAAATGCTTTACTCTTTTAAATAACAAGACCTTTACGACACCCAGAAGTCCAACAACAACCAAGAATAGTAAAAGCTAAAAACTCACTGGGGAGTAATTATTTCTGAGTACAAGTAGCCTGCTATTTCAAACACTTGTTTGCTGTGAAGGACCAATACAGGTTTTGTGAATGTTTATTTTGTTGATTTTTTGTTTTCAATTATAGTTATGGTTAACGTAGAAACGAGCATTTGGGGGGTTCTTTAGGTCTGTTTTCTGTTGATTTTGTGTTTGTGCAAAGCTGAGAAATGTGTGTTGGCGTGTTTTGACCGGCAGGGGGCTCTTTTTATCAATAGTTGGGAGGAAATAAATCTGTGCTGACAGATGCAATCTGACAATCCTCTTCCGATAGCTTAGTATGTTTAATGTAAACCTTCTGATCATATACAGTATGAAAGGAGGCATATCCATATTTGAATATGTGCATGCCATATAAATATTTTAATTTGTATGTTGTAATATATTTTCTTTGACCATCTGATAAATTTGAGTTTTCAATGTGTGCTTTTGTATGTGTGAGAGAGATAATTTAATTTTAATCAGTTTCAAATAGCTTTAAAATGCCTGTTTTTTATAACAAAAATAGTTAGGGGGTCTTAAGTATATAATGTAATCTTAAGTAAATAGTCATCTTATTTATATAAAATAGTTCACCCCAAAATGAAAATTTTGTCATTATTTACACACCCACTTGTTTCAGACCTGTTTGAATTTCAGAAAAGATTATATACTGAAGAACTCCTAAAGAAAGAAAAAAAAAGAAAATAAAAAAAACATTGTCATTGGCATCTATAGTAAGTTTTTGTTCCTGTAGATGTCAATGGCTGTTTTTCCCCAGCATTCTTCAGAATATCTTGTTTTGTGTTAAAACAAAGAAAAAAAAAACAAAAAAAAAACAATAAATGTTATAAAAGTTTAGAAACACTTGAGTGTGAAAAAATAACGAGGATGTGTATATTTTTGGGTGTGAAATATCTCTTTAAATAATTACACTATGTTGAATAATTTGTTAAATAATTGGATACATGATTCATGGAATTTACATTTTTTTAAGGTAACTGGTTGCAAACAATTTTTGTGACAACTTAAACTAACAGATTGATTTAGTTATGTTCTATAATTTGTTTGTTTAAATACAGCCCATATAAATAGTTTGCAACCAGTCACAGTAACAATGTAAATTCCATGAAATTTTCTGTGTATTTCCTCTAAAACTTTCCCATCATTACTCATAAAAGATGCAGTTTAACATACTTAAAATGTTCATATCTTGACCTGCCATATAATACAGTGAAAAAAAGTGAAAATAAAAGCGTACAAAACTGAAAAAAACAAAATGAAGGCAAAACTTATATGTTTCGTCTTGCATAATCAAGGCTTTATCCAGATACTATTGGAAACTTGCATCCAGAAGGGGGCGGGTGTAGTTGTAGCGTAGCCACGCCTCCGGGGTGAGTTTTAGAACACGGGGTGGTGCTTTCTCAATAAGCTCCTCCTCCACCCTGCTGCCTGCGCTTGGTACTGTTGAGCTGAGCTCAGACTCCCGTGGATCTGCGCTTCGGTCCGCAGCTGAGCCTAATCACACAGACACACTGTTTGGATAACAAACCACGAGCAGCAAAACACCGTTTATGGTTTTATCTGAAGATTCCACAATGTCTCGCACCGACGAGGTCCACCGCATTTCGGAGAATGTCTATAAGGTAAAGTGCTCTGATTAACTGATGAAACTACTTATTGATTGCACAGGTGGTGAGATACGAATACTTGCGTTTCGAAGGTGCGTGTGTGTTTTAACAGTGACTTCTCGCTGTTTCGTAGTACTGCTTTAGATTGCATTCAGTAGAGTTACGTTATTTATTTATTTATTTTTATCGTTAATAAACTTAATGAGAGATAAAGTTCTTGTTCGTGTTACTAATGCCATTGAAATACCGCCCACCCTGAGAACAGAAGTGATTTGCATTGTTTATTTTTATTATCTGTCACGATAAGAACACAACCCTGTCTCTCTCTCCCTGTCTCATTTTCACACACACACACCCACACATCTATCTATCTATCTATCTATCTATCTATCTATCTATCTATCTATCTATCTATCTATCTATCTATCTATCTATCTATCTATCTTGCATTTTTTTGCAACTGTTTTTGTTTGCATGTTAAAATGTCCAAAGATTTGCTGAACTGATTTATTTATTTATTTATTTATTTATTTATTTATTTATTTATTTATTTATTTTAATGTGAATGCAGTAAAACAGGTGTGGACACCTGTTTGCATTTTGCTGTTTTCATTCATGCATTAGGAAGTGTTTGCACTAATTAGTGTATATTTAATTTCACCTAAGCAAGTGATGCAGTGCCATAATAATTGAATAGAATACAAAGCAGAACACATTTTAAGTATTAGTTTCGACTCATCAGCTATGTACTAATAAACTTAAAGGTCTTGAGTACAGATGACAATGATGTCAATGTCATGTAGTCTTGTTGTGTGAGTCAAGTATTAACTTGCCTATAGACAGAGCATGTTATAAACATGTGCATGACATCACTGTTTCACAAAATTGCAGTTTTATTGTTTACACAGAGACAATTAATGGTGTCATTTAAAAAAAAAAGTTGCACTTTTAAACCATTTTCAAAATTAGCATAGTCATAAAAAGCATCAGTGTTTTCACTAAAAAAAATAAATAAATAAAAATAAAAAAAACCTTAGGGCGCATTTCCATTGAAGTGTTTTTGTCCTTTACAAACAAATGCTGAGCTTTTTTTTTTTTTGTCGTCAATGAAATCGCTGCATTATTATTATGTAACCTTTAATTATTAGTAATTTTTATGGCAGCTGCGCATAAGGGGTGCAATCCTGGGGTCCGTTCTTTGTACCTCGCTTAAATGATCTAAGATGATTTGGCAGATCCTGGATCTTTTAATCTTGATAACTGATCTCTGGCTAATTTGGTTCTTCAATCAAGTTCGCGAATCAGATTAAAATGTTTGGATGAACTGATCTGAGTTCGCTGCGTGTGTTGTGAAGGACAAGTCTATCGATTCCCGAAATCATGATCAGCAACGATTGGCTGATGGCATAGCATCTAATGACATCATCTAATTAATATTTAATTATCCCTGTGAGCAAAATGACTTAAAATTAGTAGTAAATGGTTTGTTAAATATGATGCGCAAGTTACTTTCCACATAAAGCTGCAGGCTGCAGGCTTTACACTTTCATGTGTCGAGTATTCATCATGTATTTCAATGCATATCAATATATTTAGTTCTACGTTTAGAAAATATATTTTTTTATTATAGTAGACTAGGCCTACTCAAGTTTTTTTAATCAGCGTTAGGAATAACTGTATAAATAAAATTTGCATCAAAAAAAGCATTGTTTTATCAGTAAAGGTGTTTGCAACTTTTGCGAAGCATCAAATTTATTTAAGTCACTGGTATATTAGCGGTCAAAACGCGTGCATAACTGCATAAAGTATTATAATTAAAAAAAAAAGTTTATATCAATAAACGTTCTCTTTGAACCACCAGGTGTCAGTATTTGTACTTTATTTCATAAGTTATTATCAATATATATATTTTTTAATGATAAAAAAATTTGATTTACTATTTTGCCAAGTGTATATAACTACTGTAAGAAAACATCAGCATTTGGTACATACTTTCAGTATTATCTTTGCTTGAAATGACCCGATCTAATTATGTTTATATGAAATGAGCCTGCTTCCGACCAGGTTTGAGCTACCAGAACTGTTGCTTTGACAACATCTCTTAGACAAGTTTTGAAGAACTAAACGATTCTGGATCATGTCAGTATCCAAATCCAGCTAACTGAGTAATCCACCTACGAAGAATAGACCCCTAATAAAAAAAAAAAAAAAAAAAATGTGTGGTGGACACTTTAGACCAGGGGTGGCGAACCCGCGGCTCGCGAGCCGCTTGCGGCTCTTTTACTGCTCTTGTGCGGCTCAACCTCTCGCGCGATTTAACATACATTAACCAATTGACTAACGCCCCATTCACACGGGGCTTCTGCGTCTCTTTCTGCTTTTGTGCGGCTCAACCTCTTGCGCGATTTAACATATAATAACCAATTGACTAATGCCCCATTCACACGGGGCTTCACGTTGCTCGCTGCAGAAGCTGGGAGTAGCTCAACTTTTCAAGCGCTTACGGACGCGTTAGCCAATCAGATCGCTGTATGCAAATACACCTGCTAGAAAGTGGCCTATTGCTGACTGAATTTTATTTTCTGACGCTTCCATTCAGACACGCCTTCAGTCAAGGGTTGACACTGAAGCCCCGTTTGATTAGGGCGCAACACGAGTGACGTGCAGTTCGTTAATATCAATCGTCATGGCAGAGTCAGGAAAGCGTACAGCTAAGCGTAAATACGAAGATGAGGGCAGAACATTTTTATCTGAATGGGATTTTACACTGAAACTAGTGAAATCAAAGCATCGCTCTGTTCTTACTGACACACATGTGAAAGAGTTACTACGAGTAGCCACAACTGAATACGAGCCAGACCTGAAAAAGATTGTGGAAACCAAGGAATGTCAGGTGTCCCACTGAGTCAAGTAAAATGAGGTAGGCTAATTTAAATCCATGAAAACTATTGCGTTATATAATTAGGTGTATAAGTTATTGTGACAGATATACTGTTGTTTGCACATCTGTTGTGTGGCTCTTTGCAGTGATAAAGTTTTTTTTTGGCTCATCATGCCAAACAGGTTCGCCACCCCTGCTTTAGACCCTTAAGACTTTTATACATGGAAAAATGTATGAAACTGCCTACTACTCAGTTGATACTGCACTTGAATTTAAACGAACTAGCGCAGTACGTTCTATACAGTATGAATGTAAGAAGTATGAATGGAATTTGGACGTACTACATCAGCCATTTTGTCAGGGTCATGTGATCTACCCATGTCAGTTGCGTCGTTTCACTCCCATTCATGAATTCTCTCATGGAGCATCATGAGATAGCTTGCATTGGATGCACATTTCAGAATCTTACTGGAAATAGTAAGTCACCCAAAAACCTCTTGCATACTGATTTTTGAATACTATGAATTTGGACGTACTACTCTGCTCCCGTATTGTATAGTGTGGAAGTATGCGGTTTTAGATGCAGACTGGATGTTTTGGATGTTTAACCCATTACATTTTGGAAACATGAAAATGCAAACCTTGATAAAAATAGTTTAATTAAATGTATTGTATTTCAATTTGAATTAGGCCTGGCATGCAGGAAACAATAGGTGCATCCCAAATAGCATTCCTGCATTGCACTTCGCCATTTTGTAATAGAAATAGTGTAAAAAAAAAGTGCATTCATGATGAAATGTTTCTTTCATTCTAAAAAAAGTGCACTCTAAAAACCTGGATGATGACCTTATTTAACACTTTACCCACTCAATTACTGCAGCTTTGCTCACGTAATGGAAAGGCTGGAGCTATAGGGCTTGGATTACTTTATTTATTTTGCATTGTGCAAGCAAAATTATCTTACAAGAGTAATTACACCATCTCTTAATGGTCAATGTGGTTATCTGTCAGGTACTATTTATGGCAGGTACTATTATGTAGTTGGATCATTTATTTCACTAATTTGTCAAACATCAAACACTGACTGGAGAACGTCATCTGGGAAACATTGTCTTTGTTGTAAAAATACAAAAACAAATTAGTGTTCCATTTGGGATGACACTAAATTCTTATACTATGCTGTTGAGTGTGTAAGCGTATAAGAACATGGTGCAAAGTGTAACGTATTGTATTTAATTATTATTATTATTATTATTATTATTATTATTATTATTATTATTGGGCGACGCAGTGGCGCTGTAGGTAGTGTTGTCTCCTCACAGCAAGAAGGTCGCTGGGTCGAGCTTCGCCTCAGTTGGCTGTGTGGAGTTTGCATGTTCTCCCTGCGTTCGCGTTGGTTTCCTCCGGGTGCTCCGGTTTCCCCCACAGTCCAAAGACATGCAGTACAGATGAATTGGGTAGGCTAAATTGTCCGTAGTGTATGTATTTGTGCGTGGATGTTTCCCAGAAATGGGTTGCGGCTGGAAGGGCATTTGCTGTGTAAATAAATGTGCTGGATAAGTAGGCGGTTCATTCCGCTGTGGCGACCCCGGATTAATAAAGGTACTAAGCCGAAAAGAAAATAAATGAGTATTATTATTATTATTATTATTATTATTATTATTATTATTATCATTATTATTATTATTATTATTATTATTATATTTTCTAAAAATGCGAACAACAATGTTTTCTGTCCAAAATGTGAAACAAAAATGCAAAGAAAATGTTCTTCTTGCTACTTCTTGCTTATGTTTTTTTTTTTTTTTTTAAATGCATTTGTGACATAAATTGTTTAATAAACTGAGATGGTGCAGCTTTTAAATGCCTGGAAAATTATATGAAGAACTGATTTTAATTTGTCAGTCAAAAAATAGAGGCTCAGTGGTTAGCACTGTCGCCTCACAGCAAGAAGGTCACTGGTTCGAGCCCTGTCTTGGTCAGTTGGCATTTCTGTGAGGAGTTTGTTGGTTCACGTGGGTTTTCTCCGAGTGCTCCGGTTTCCCCTACAGTCCAAAGACATGTGCAAGACAAGATTTTAATTGAATAAACTAAATTGCACATAGTGTATGTGTGTGAACGAATGTGTATAGAT